AGAGAGAGAGAGAGAGAGAGTGTGTGTGTGTGTGTGCGCACTATAATCAGCAGTTAGTCATAACAGCTTGATTCCCTCACCATGTGATGAGGCCTGCAGCAACAGCGGACCAGGTGACGCAGCAGGAGTTTGGCTTCTTGCTCTCCTCCTCCTCATCTTTGCGGCAGCAGCACAAACAGCTCAGGTAAATGGCCAGGCAGAGAAGGTTGAGGCCGAGCCCTGCAGCCGCCACACAGCCCAGGAAAATGAGAGACTGGAGGGGGAGAGAGAGGGGGGAGAGAGCGCCATGACACAGCTGAGTCAGAAACAAAAAGTAGAATCAGATCTCATGCATCATACCATGAACAACCATTTTAACCTGGAGCGTAGGGTCACCTGTGACTAATGCTTCCCAGAAATAAACATCAAGATAGTACAAAAACAAAAATAATACATAACTTTTATTTGTAGCAGATTGGCCTGTTGGTTCATGTAGCTGTTAAGGCAAAGCAGTTTTGTTTATATGGCACATTTCATTAAAGTAATGTGCTTTCAAAGTGCTTTACATTCAACAGTGGAAGAAGTGTTCAGAAGCTGAACAGAACAGCAGAAAATGTCAAAATGTCTTGCACGCAAAAGGCCCTTTAAGCACAATGCATAAAAGTAAAAGTTCTCATTATGCAGAATGGCCCGATTGAGTGTGTTATGTTGTTACCAGCCGCCACAGCGTGTAGCTGGCATTATTTTCACCTTGTGAGTCTGTGCATGTGTGTATGTCATCATGGCAAAATGTGGTCCTGGAGACACCTACTGTGGCGGGAACTACCACAGAGGCAGTTTTGAGTAATTTGGCAGGTGTTTATATGTCTGTCTGTCCGTTGACAACCATTTTGTCAGCATGATAGAGTCACAACCGTGCAAGATACAGTCAAGGTATTTGAAGATGGGCGCGCTCCAACCCCTGAGTGCTGAGTACTCATGCAATAATGTAGTAATGACTCATGGATGGGAACGTCAACTTGGCTGATCCCATCACAAGATGGTTTCTAGTTACATTACTGGATTATTACAAGCGATTCATTAGTATGTGAGAACAATTGTAATGTTGAAGCTGGTCAAAGAGAAGTGAATTCTGAAATGTAGTGAAGTAGAAATAGAATCTTCGAGAATAAAAATTAACTACTTAAGTGTAGTACTACTATTACTACTACTAGTACCTCAAAACTGTACTTTAAACAGCATTTCAGTAAAGGTACTGTACACAGTATTGTATGTGGAGAAGAATAAAATACAAGAAAATGCTACAATTAAAGAATCTAAATGTTAAGAAAATTAAGTGAAACTTTGTTTGCATGCATTAGCTTCACTTTCAGTAGTGAGTAGTAAAAGTTTTTTAGTATTCAGATGTTTTTTAGAGCTCTAGAGCTGTTTTCATCCACTGACTGTCTACCACCCGCTCAGCTACAAACAGCGAGCTAAGTTAGCGATTAGCAGGTGAACAATGTCAAACATTTAGCAACTAAAGAGCCAGACACCTTTGTAGGAGATGGTGGCAACCAAAACAGAGCTAAAAGGAGTGTGAATGTTGGACTTACATCAATCAGGTGGATAGAAACCAAAGTCAAAATGAATGCTAATGCTGCTGTGTCTTATGTATAAATAGGCAAGTTAGCTAACATGTTGTGTTGTAATGACTGAACAGGTAATTTGACCATTATGGCAGTCTAAAAAATGCTTTCTTTATTTTTATTCATTTGCATTTGGCTGGTCTCTCTGTGCCGAATCTCAAAGTGAGATGAGAGACACAAGTCACATAAAACATCCTTTTCTTCTCTATAAAATGGCTGCCTGTTTAGAGCATCATAATCATAATGTTCTGTGACTCCAAGCAAACAATTTCAAACTAACAACAACAGTCCACGTGATTACTGTGGTAATAAGACATGAAAACTGATGAATATATCTGCACCAGCCCCAGAAACAAGGCCAGCTGCATTCTGGGAGCCAGTTATCCTCCTTTTCAGCGTCCCCGTCCCCAGCGGGAGAGCAGACACCTCCTCGTACATCTCTGCATCTGCTCCTCTCCTTCTTGTTCCTCCTTTTACTCCCCCCCCCCCCCCCCCCCCCCCCCCCCCNTTTTTTTTTTTACAGTATCTGACATGATAGAGGTTTCCACTCAAGACCAGACACATGGATATGATTTTGTTTGTAAAGTGTGGGGGCTGCCTGAAGACCAAGAAGCTAAGGCAAGACTTCTAGACTTTCTCAAGAGGGTAAACGCACACACAGGAGTTACAAGGATACAAGGACCTTTATCGTCATCTCATCGCAGTGATACTGATACTTTTTAAGGTACAATTTCCACTTTAAGAAATGCAAAATAAAGTATGTTCTTAAATACCTCACAAAATGAAAGAGATGGAGGAAAGCTACTGTACATTCAGGCAATTCAAAATACGTTTGCGTCCGTATTTAGAGCATGTTTCAACCTAATTTCCAGCAATTTGGCAAAAGAAAATGCAAATGAACGTGTGTTTCCATCCACTGCTGTTACGTTAGGGATTGTGTGCATTGGAAGTAACAGCTGGGGAACCAGTTGGGCACCATTAAACCAATGCAGAGGAACAGGATACAATGAGCTGGTGCAATTAAAAGAGTGCCAGTCAAACCTCAAGCGAATCAAAACGATGTAGGAAACATGAGAGAAAGATGGCATTTATATTTTGTTGCATGTATTTATTTGACCGACACGTTTGCAAATGGATTTTGTGTGTAAGACTGTGGATTCTTTTTCTTTTTTTGTTTTTATAGATCTGTGGTTTCAAGTACAAACAAACCAAAAAGCCATAAGGCTGTAAGACATTTTTCAAATAGGTTTAAAGTCTAATCCACTACCCAGACAATCAATTCCTGAGGGCTTCCTGCAGCAGCCAGCGACTTGAGCCAATGTGTCACGACAAAATGCAACAACACTTGGTGAATATACTGTACCGCAATTACACAACAGGACTCACACCTCCCATTGTCCTCGTCCTCTACCAGCTGCTGCTTGCAACATGATTTTTTTTTTT